TTGCTGAGACAAAGTCTTGCTATGTAGTTCAGGGTGGTCTTGAACTCAATATGTAGCCCAGGGTGGCCTTGAACTTGAGGTGATCTTTTTGCCTCCAAGTGATGGGATTATAGGCATGTACCATTAAGCTTGGCTGAATGGCTGCTGTTTCTCTGTCAAAATCTGTAAAATCCATAGGAATAATGCCTGCCTTTGGCCAACATTTCACTACTTGATTGACCACTATGCTGTAGCAATCATGTCTATGGCTTGCTTGATGCTCATTTTTTATTTTCATTGCTGTTGATCTTGAGGAGGATCGGTTTTAGAAGATGACTCCCATACAGCATTTTCATGGTATGAATTATGCCAAGATTTAGTGGCTACAAAACACCAATATGGATTGAGGGCAGATATCCCACCTGAACCTTTTCAAAGTATGGACAGATAATGTGAGCAGAACAGTTGTCAATAACAGGAGGATCTGGAGCCAGGCATGGTAGTGTGTACCTGTAATCCCACCCTCCCATTTGGGAGGCTGAGGCAGGAGGATTGCTGTGAGTTCAAGGCCAGCCTGGGCTACACAAGCAAGTTAAAATCCAGTCTACACTACACAATGAGACCCTGTCTCACCCCACCCCACCCCCCTAAAAATAATGGGTGAATCAGACATTCTGCCTGTGTCATCCAGGCATCCACTTGTATTAGCTGCTTGTTAAACAGCTGTGTCATCCATCCCCACTGGTTGGCTCAGTAATCATAAGGGAGAGAATGGACATTCTTGAGGCAGTGTGGCTGATTTATCAACAATCAATGGCCTCACCTTTTTCAGTCCCTAAAGCATTGCAGCCAGAGTGCTGTCAACCACTGCTTTGCTTTCTTGACCCCCCTCTACAATGGTCCCCTTTAGCAACAAGTGTGTGCTGGAGGAGCAACGGGAAAAACACTCCTGTCTCATCAGCATTAAAGCTATCATCTGGGCTGTAGCCACCAATCAGTTTTATAATTTTCTCTGCAGGCCACTCCCTAACCTAATCTATCCCTACTCATTAATGTATCACCAACCTTTCTACAGACTGCTTTCAAAGCAATGCCATGGAGATCTCTAAATCTGTTCAGCCAGCCTACACTTGCTTGAAAATTGTTCCAGCCAAGCATGTTAGCTAAGTTTAGTGCTCTTTTTCCACTTGACAAAACCAATCACAAAAATGTTTTTGGCATGGATTTCTTGAAAACAAGCAAAAAAGCCTTATCAGTATCATCACAGAGAGCATTATCCTTGTCCACTGAGGTACATAGATGCCTCTCACACTTTTTCTTCAAATATGGCATGATTCTTTAAGAATGTAAACAATATAGAAAGAACAACAATTCTTTTGCCACTGTCTTAATTATTTTCTCACTGCTGAGACAAAATACCTGACATCTGAAGTTAAAAGGGAAAAGGTTTATTTAGCTCACAGTTTGTGGAAGTTTCAGTCCATAATCCATGGGTTCCAAGGCAGCGTGGTATGCCAGACAGGCATTGCAGAGGTGAAACAGTTCATGGCAGGCAGAAGAAAGCAAAGCAAGCAAGAGATGACCACGCTCTTTCTATCCCTTATATCTTATCCAGGCCACATAGGGTGGGTAACACTCACATCTTAATCCTAGTGCCCTTCATCCTAGCATTGTGCCATGAATCAGTTCCCACGTCACACATTCTAGATCCCGCCAACTCTGAAAAAGCCCCACCTACGACCATATAAGGCTTGGGGAGACATCTGAACACAAGCCGTAACAGCCACATTGTCTTTCCTCTTACCTAACAGCTTCTGTAACTTCCATTTTCTCCTCCAGGGAGAACTGCTGATGCTTCTTGTTCCTCGTTTGTCATTTCTAGGGGACAAGGGAAGGGCCAGAACTAACAGGACTGTGTCTGTGCCTCCTTGCAGCTTGTTTTACCATAAGAAATGAGAAGATAAAATGGAGTACCTATCAGGAACCAAACTTAATGAATTTGCCCTAAAAGATGGGTTCAGATTTTTTAAAAAATCTCAATAGAAAATGATACAATCAGGCTAAAACTGAGAGAAAATAGGATTCATACTACTTTTTGTCAGTAAGAGACTACTTGGACATTTCAAACAGGGCTGAGGGACTGTTAATCTAGTTTACTTAAACTTTCCAAGACTTGGTACAAATGGGAATAACGATTGAAAGAGATGGGAACAGATTTTTGTAAAGAGCAATGCAGTGCATAAATTCAGAGTTATTTATCCAGCTTGTTTTATGAATATAGAAACCGCGGCCCACGTAAGAGGCTGAACAAAGTTTATATAGCCGAGATTTCTCACTCAGTGCTGTATCTGTCATTCAATAGTCCTGGGTGAAATTCCACCAAAATTTAATCTTCAAAGTTCTCTCAACATTTGGCTTGGAAAGATTTTCAATGCAGAAGATGCTTCTAGTGCTACACATACATTTAATAAACATTTATAGGTTTCAGAATTCAGTGAAGAATTCTGTGAAGGAGTAAGTGAAAAATAATAGACTTAAGGTCTTTACCATTATGAAATACAAAATGTGGTGGAGAAGATAAAACAATAAGAGATAAATAAGGTAATTATAGAGAGTGACATGTGTTATAAAGAAACAAACAGTATAATAGGGAATAAAAGGAGAGGATCTATTCACAGAGGTTGTTAGGGATACCCTCACTAAGACAGTGGCATTTAAGCTGAGGTTTTCACAAAGAGCTGAGGCAAAGGGCAGTCCAGCAAAGGACACAGACTCTACAAACTCAAAATCATCAAAGAGTTAGAGGTATTCTGGGAACTAAAGGAGTTGACTGACTCAAGTGTATAAGGTGGCAAGCCAGACCATTCAGTGATCCTCTGTAAGTCAATATTTTATTCTGAGTGCAAGAAATCCACTGAAAGTTTTCAGAGAAGGGAGGGTCATGATCTGTTTTGCATTTTTAAAAGATCACTAGCTCTTTTGTGGAAAATGAATCAAAGACATAAAGAGACCAATTAGGATATCAGGATGCTATTGCTGATAATTGGGGTAAGGGATGATAGCAGAAGGGACAGGCAGATGATAGTACAATCCGTCTCTGGGCCTCTTTTCATATTTTAAAATGAAGGCATTTGACTCAACCTGGGAGGGCATGTCAGAATTTGACATCCAAGTCCAGTCTAGGACCTACTGAGTAAGAATCTCTATGATAATCTCAAGGTCACATGTTTGCAAACTACAGGAGTACTGTAGATAACACCTAAAGTCTGTTCCAAATTTAAGTACTGGATCCTAGGTGCTCCAAACTCAAACCCCTTTAAGACTAGGATAGTGGCATAAGTGAGTGACACCAGGACAAGGTATTTGGAGAATGCTGTGGTCTACGTGCCATGTCTAAAGCTTACCAAATTTACAACAAACAACTTCCCTGCCAAGCCTGGTTAAACAAAACACCATCCAGCAGTAACAGTTGCCCGCTTTAGGCATTTTAGCATGAGACTCCTCAAAGGACAACATGCTATCACCTTATACTGTAACTACTCCTTCCCAAGTATAGATTTTTACCACTACCTCCATATATTTATCCTCCCATTCATGGACTCTTGTGTCAAGCACTGTTCTCAGTGCCACATACAAGAAGATGCCATGAATGGGAACATAGTGCCTATCCATCACTGAGAAGCTGACCATGGAAGCAGGAAAGACAAAACACTACAGTGTGTGAAATACTGTGACAGGTGTGGGAATATACAAGTGGAGATAATTAATTGGGATGGAGCACAGAAAGGCATTGCATTTCAAAGAAGAAACAATACGGTAAGCCTTAAGAATAAACAAAGTAAAATTCATGAGATGTTGGAAATATGTGTAAAGGCAATGAAGTACTATAGAAAATAAAATGTCATGGAGAGGGAAAAAACGTTTTTGGAGAGTAAATGAGGACCAAATCACGAAGGGCTATTTTAGAATTCTAACTTGATTCTGCAGCAGTAAGAAGCTTTTGGGGTTTTTGTTTTGTTTTACTGGGTGGTTTTTGGTTTTGTTATTGTTGGGATAACATCCACTTTAGGAAGAGTCCTTTGTTTGCAGGGTTAGGAACATAATGATTAAAGCCCATTTTCCTAACAAATGGCTCTAAATCTCAAAAGCAGGCTAGCCTAATTGGCTATATACAATTTGAATGTGAGCTTGAGTGCAACAGGAAGCTAATGACGGACTTTAAACAAGAAGAAAGAGATGAATGTTGTGTGAAGAATGGAATTAAATGGTGTCATAGAAAAAGCAGGAGTCCTGGAATTGGGAGTATAACTCTGTGGTAGTAAAGTGCATGTGTAAGACCCGAGGCTCAATCTCCAGAACCACCGCCCCACAAAAGCAAGAGTCCAGACAAGAGACAATGGTAGCTTGGATTAGAGTAGCAATAGAAGTAATCAGTTTGGGCTGTGTTCTTACAAGCCTTGCTGATAGACTGGATGAGGTAAAGGAGGAGTCAAAGATCTCTCTTAGATTTCTGGATTGAGCACTGAACAATCCAGTGGGTGGTAGTGCCGTTCACTGAAAACGGAACCAGTTATGCAGGATCTACTGCTTAAACATAATTTGTAAAGCATTTTACATGCTTACCTGTGGCAGGTCTGGGGCTCAAACCCAGAGAGGCTCTTAAGAAAGCTAATGCTAGTGCTTTACACACTACAGGATGTTACATAGTCTGTTCTGACAACTCACAGCTTAGAAGGGGAGAGACGGAAAAAGAGTGAAGCAGGAGCCAGAACAAAGTCCTGGTCAACATAAAAAATCTGACTTTTAAAATTTCATTGGGGGGGTGTTGTTTGAGACAGGGTTTCACTATGTAGTTGAAGTTGGCCTTAAACTTGCAGCAATCTGTCACAAGTGCCTGTCACAAGGATTACAGGCTTGTGCCACCATGTGCGGCTTTGAGTTTTAAAATTTTATTTCTTTATTGCGGTGCTCGTGATTGAACCCAGGGCCTCACCCATGCTAGGCAAGCAGTGTACACTGAGTTACATCCCAGGCCCAGGGGTTTGAATTTTATTCTAACTGAAAGACAAGACCCTGGAGAATTTGAAGCAGGGAGTCACTTAATTAGACCTAAGAGTGCAGGACGATCAACCTGGCTGCTGTGTGGGGAAAAGACGAGGCAGCCACGAGAGGAGTGGTTGAACTGCATCAGTTCAGACACAGACGAGGGTGGCTGGGAGACTGTGAGTGTTGGATGCAAAAAGCAGTCAGGCTCCAGATACATTTGTAAGACAGTGAGGATCATGCGGGAGCTTGTTCAAATGTGGAACGTTCTGTGACATCGGCGACATTCAATCCAATCCCTGAATCCCGAAGACTTCACCCTCCGGGAACTCGGCTTCAATCTCTCCAGAACTGGGTATCATTACTCGTCGTGGGGCAGCAGGAGACGGATCGAGGGCAGATAAACAGAGTCAGATGAGGTTTCATGCGGCACTGCAAGTATCAACCCTATTGTGAAAGAGCCGGGGCCAGGTCTTGATCGCAGGGCTGAGAAGATGGTGACAGATTCCGCAGCGCGTAACTTTTAGAGGAGAGGCGAGGTCTCTACCCCTCCAACTCGGCACAGCCCCGCCCTTTTACCTGAAGGGCCCACAGCACAGCGCGAGGGCTGAGCGGCCCATACCGGGCGTCCCACAGCCAGCAGCCACAGCTTCCTTCTCTGCCCAGGACTTGTGGCCGGAAGCGGTCCGTCCGCTGTAGCCGGCCCTCTCCCAGTCTGGTTCCTACGAGCCCGTCCTCCAACGAGGCTGGGCAGTTGCGCTTGCGCGCGGAGTCGCGCGCAGTCACGCGCCGCAGGCTACTTCCGGTGCACCGCGAGGTCCGCCGGGACGGGTCTCCCTGGCGATCCGTGGTGTGCTGTTGCTGCCGCTGCTGCTGCCGGCGTCCCCACCCACCGGGGTCGCGGCGACGCTTGTGCCCTTGCTCTTCCTCGGGCTCCCCGGGGCTCGATCCCCGGGGTGGGTCCTCGGCAGGCGTCGGCGGGGTTCCTGCACAGCGAACCTGCGCTCCTGCACTCGCCTTTCCCGATCCCGCAGAACGACTCCGAAGAGAGTGACGAGGGGGACTCTCGCGACTCCGCGCTGTGTGTCGCCGGGCAGGGCCGCGGGGCCGGGGCTTCTCCAGCCCCCGGGATGCGCGCGCGAGTCCTCGCCTCCACTTCCTTGTCGCCGGTGTTACGACGGGAGCCGCCTCTCGCCGACAGCGGGGAGCGCGAGTGTGCCGGCGCCCCCGGGAATGTGAGCCGCGCGGCTGCCACGCTCCTCGGGGTAAGTCCCGCCCTCGGGGTCCCTCCGCACCGCCGGCCTGCTGGGCGCTGCGGCTCTTGGGGCGAGCCTCTCCTGCCTCTTCCATAGTGAGTTTCCTCTTCCCGCAGTCCGTGTCTTTGGAACCCGGAAAGGAAATAAAGTGGCCCAGAGTCAACGTGACGTGAGGCCGAACCAACACAGGCCGTCGCAGAGGTTCCGAGCGGAATCTGATGGGTAGTGAAAGTGTCATATTTCAAGTGCTGCTCCTCTGTTTTGCACGAGGGACACCTTAAGGGTTAGAGTTAGTTGCTTAAGGTCGTAGGGATCCGTGCTGTTGCTCTAACACAGTGAAGCCGTAATTAGTGCCTCTGCCTGTCCTCCAGAGCCCTTGGTTTTAACCTTCATGCTATTCTGCCTTTCTTTGCGTGCGATACTGAGGCCTGAGATCTGAAAACAAACTTGAGCCAGGCAGAGAATAGCGTAGTCAAACAAAAAACCCAGCAGTCTTGCTTACCCCATGGTGGTAATAATGACTTTGGTTCTTCCTTTATTTTGCTCAGGTTGCTGAGCTCGTGTGTGCCATTCTTTATGGATGCTGTCTTGGAGTTACTGTTCTCCACGAGGCCAGGAATTCAATTATAAAGGCAAAAATGTACAGTCTGCACATACCCTTGATTTGAACTCCTGGTACCCTTAACTTTTGCTTAGCCAACAAGGTTAGCGACTGTGTTGTCTTCTTGAGGCTGCTCTATGATAGTTACAATACGGGTTGTTTTAGTTTGGGGGGAGGAATGGAAAAGTAACCATTTAGAAATGACGGTACTATAAAGGCCTTTAGGAATAATACGTTCTTAACCTGAGGTACACCTTTAAAATTGTGAAATGTTGTGCGTGTGCATTTTCTAAGAGAGAGTTTTTAAGCTTTCACATTTGTTGCAAAGATTCTTGCCTGCCCCAAGGATAAGAGCTATTAAGTTCAACTTCTTCGTCTGGTAGTAGAAACAGCTGAAATTCAGAGTGTAATCACATGGTAAGAGTTTAAACTTGGACCCACATCTCCTGACTCCACAAAGTCCTCTTTGCCATTATACTTGTGAGATACCTTGTCATTTTTGGAGTGAGGGTTAAATGAGATGTAGCCAGGCTTTGTACTGCCTGTATCCTTTGTTTTTTACCACAAGGCCCTCGTTCTAGAATCAGAATAAGCTTTCTTTTGATAGATTGCCAGGAGCAACTATAATATTTCCCTGTCATAAATTCAGGTGATTTTGAGGAACATTTCTTCCACCAAGGGTTGAGTTGTTATAACCCCAACTTAGAACTTGGCCTCAAATAAATGAACTCTTCTTGAACTAGTTATTCAGTTTCTTTATATCTTCCTTCTTATAGACATAAAAGCTGTTAGTAGATTGTCTGTATTTTAGGCCAGCAGCAGAGAGCTGATGTTGGTCTGTTAAATTACTCTTAGACCTGTATCATATCACTACACTAACCATATGTGGTGTTGTCATTACAGTCTAACAAAGCAAACTCAATCAGTTCCTAAGTAACAGCCTTATTTTGAGTGTTTTAATAGGCATGTATGGCTAGCGGCTATAGCACAGCACAGATACAGAACTTTCCCATCAGAATTTATTGAATAGTTCTGGTGCAGAGGGTTGCTGGTAGAAATGGGTAGCAATGTCATATTATGAAGAACCAAACAAGTGAGTTTTTAAGTTAAAAAAAAAAACAAAACTACCTCTCTAAATCCACATTTGAGCCTGGTGGCCTTCGAAGGTTAAGAATGTCATCTGAAGATGATAGTCTTTAATAATTAACCCCTTCATTTGTATAGCACTTGACTGTTCTCAAGTAAAGTTGTGTCAGTTATGTGCTTTGAGTCTTGCACTATAAAACTGGGAAGGTGAGTGAAATTGTTTTTATATATGTAGGACAGAGAGAGAGAGAGAATGAACTGAGCCTAAAGCATTTTGCAAGACTGACCACAGAATTACTGAAGCTGGCAGAGTATTAAAAGGTCCCTTGCATATAGGTCCTTATTGTATATTTAAATGAATGAATGAAGCTGTTTAAGCTGAGGAAACATGGAGGAGCAGCCAAAACTTCTGACTCCTGGCCAGCTGTTCTTTTTAGCTGTTTCCGTATGGGATTTTTGTAATGTGGGACTAATAAATGTTTGAGTTGAAAGAGTACTGTATCCCATGAATAAATATAAGTGCTTGGTGAGAGAAGTCATCTGTTTGTTAACTATATAGATTTCCATATGCTCTAATTGAGAAGGGCTGAGCTGGAGTCCTGACATTTGTATATTTAACTTGAAAGTACCCTATGTACTGTTTAGAATCTATATTTAGCTATTTCTCAAACAGGTAAAGGATTATTTGAATTGGAGGCTGCTGCCCCTTTAGGGTGCATTCTTAAAGCTTTGTGTTTGATTTTCTTCTCTAGTCATGGATGCATCATATGATGGTACTGAGGTAACTGTTGTGATGGAAGAAATTAAGGAAGTCTACTGTTACACTTCCCCTGGGCCACCCAAGAAGAAGAAAAAGTATAAAATACATGGAGAAAAGGCCAAGAAACCCAGGTTAGCCAACATGTTTTGGTTGCTGCTGGCATTTCTAAACAAGCTACACTGGGGGCTGGGGATTTTAGCTCAGCGGTACAGCGCCTGCCTGGCAAGCACAAGGTCGTGAGTTTGATCCCCGGTACCGGAAAAAAACCAAATAAATAAATAAACAAGCTACATAAAAAGCCAGGTTGACGAAGACTACCATTTATGGAGAAAGAGTGTAATTGTTACAGTTTCCTGAATGGGCATTGGGGTACCAGGAGAGGGAGAAATGGGAAATGGCCAGATTTATGCCAGTACTGTATTTGCCAGACTTTATTTCTAGGTTGTGACAAGAAACTGTACTATACAGATGTATAAACTTTGTACAGAAGACCTGCATTTTTTTTAATTGTACCATTGTTTAAATATTTAAAATAAGGCTTTAATAAAATTACAGAATTGTAAGTACTAGCACCAGTGGCATCTATAGAGAATATCCAGATTCTATTTCTAATCTCCTTCTTAACTATGAACAGTGCAGACTTCTTGCTGAAGTCCGGGTCAGCTTTGGGTCACTTTAATAATTGTACTTACATTAATTTCTCAGCCTCAAGGAGGTGCTTGTAACAAGTTAGATGATCAAAGGCTGTGTAGGACAATAAAGAATGTGATGACCAGCCTGGGCAATAAGCCGCCTGAATAATCTTTCCCTGAGAGTAGAATGACAGAACACCTATATCTTTCTTTGGCTATATGGGATTTTAAAGGTGGTCATTCCTACAGAAAACATGATCTGTGATAAAGTACACCAGGTAAACCTTTGTTTCAAGTTTCTGAGAGAACAGCCACTTTACCATTCATTTTACTCACCTCGCAAATGCCATCTGGGGTGTGATAAATGTTTCTTTGTTTGACTTTCAGTCCCTTTTTAGATAAATGCTTTGGATTGAGAAGCTGGGTTTTGTATCATTCTCCTGACTACCCAGTCCTTAACAATGTAGTACTTGTGGTTGAATAAGGGAAAGCTTGAAGACATCGTTGCTTCCTCAGGTCTGCTTACCTTTTATACTACTACGACATCTACCTGAAAGTGCAGCAGGAGCTCCCCCACCTCCCGCAGTCTGAGATTAATAAGAAGATTAGTGAGAGTTGGAGGCTTCTCAGTGTGGCGGAGAGGAGTTACTACTTGGAGAAAGCCAAACTAGAGAAAGAAGGTTTGGATCCTGTAAGTGTTCCCCACCCTCCAGCTTATTTCTCTGTTGGTTCAATGGGAAAACCTTTGGGGAGGCCAGCACCCCTGTTTTCCTGTTTCCTTCTCCTTGGAAAACGTTTATCATTTTATCTTTCTTGAGCCTCCTTGTTGTTTCCACTTTGATGATACCTTACACTCTTGTCCTTTTAGATTGCCATAGTAGATGGAGCTGGTATTTACTGTGTTCTCTGCAGTGATTCTTAGGTTGCTGTTCTGAATTTTAATGTAAGTTGGAGGCCATTATCCTCATGGATAGGCAGTGGTATTTTCCTTTTATATACTTACAAAGACGTTTCTCCTACATGATGTTTTCATATTACAAATTGAATATAATGTAATTTGTGTTTTACTGACTGCTGTCAGTTATAATCAGGCTTTCATGTTTAGAGGTGAGATATAACTGCCTTGTGTAATAGCAGGTCCTTTTGTTACTAGCGTCGGTTATGAACTATGGTATACTAGAAGCAAAATGCAGGGTTAAAGTCAACGAGTTAGAGGAGACTGAGGATTTGAGTGCTTGCATAAAAGAACTAGCAAGGAAGCAGTTAGGCTTTTGTCTCTCAGTGGTTTTGTTACTTCTAGTTCACAGTTACAAAGTACACTGAATATCATTCAAATTGTTCTCTTCCTTTTCTTAAATTGAACTACCTGCAGGAAAAATAACCTTGCTGCTTCAGGCTGCAACCTATAACCTGCACTCCTTTTTTCAACTGAAGCAATCATCTCTCACTTCTTTTTTGATAATGTAAAACAAAGGTTCCTCAGGAAGGCAGTACCTACATTACAGCAGAATAGGATATATTGGAGTCCCTCCACCACTGTCATTTAGATGATTTTGTCTTTATTGGCTTGACATTCCTCTTCCTCAAAGAGGAAGTCTTTTTGTTTGTGATAAAGACAATTTCATCTAATTTTGGAATGATTTGGTTTTTAAAATTAAACACTGACGTAGGCCCTTATCAACAAACACTTTAAAATTTTTAAATAAGTCATATACAGTGATTCTTCCTTATCCACAGGCTTATTTAAATTTACCCTATCTCTGCCACTACAATCAGGACCATGACTGGATTAGCTTAGATACTATCTTGACTGAGTGACCATGAAAGAAGTGAGATTTTTAATTTTTCAGTTTTGCTAACCTTATTTGTAAAATGAAACTAGTATTTGCCCATAATGTTTAAAATAGATGATATAAATCACTTAGCTGAGTTCTTGATGCATACCGACTTGGTCAGTTAGTATCACTTCCGTACCTTAACTTCCAGTAACCATATAATAAGGAATAGTAGCATTTACTGAGCTTCTGGAATGTATGAAGACCGAGTGAAACTTTCTGTGCTGTGTCTGTCCTCTCCCCAGTTCTTGTGTGAAGGTGAGACCTTCCTGCTTTTCTTGGAGCCCTTTTTGGTCTCCTGCCAAGAGCAATGCCCATGGTTGCATTGTTACTTCTTCCAGTCCATAAATGTAATGCCATCTAGTTTCTGTGTGCTTGCTTTAAGTATAGACCATCCTATGTATTCGCCACCAGTTAGTCTGGTTCCCTGAACCTATCTGCTTCAAAGGGCAACTTGAGAATGTTATTTCCCCATTACCTCTCCAATAAAGGTTCCATCAAAGAGTCAGTCTGTCTACTTTCATGTTTCATCTGAGTGGTTTTAACTTTTATCTCTGAGTGCTTCCTTTCTACTGTAAGTAGTCTTATTGACTCCTTGCTTTTGATTTAAGGATCCTTTTATAATTGACTTTAGTGTTCCTTTTAAAGGATGTTTCTGAAATTACTTTTTGTTCCATTTAATTTTGGTTCTCACTTAACTTTGAACTTCTGTTTTCTTCACTAGGTGACATTCAGTTTTAAATTGAATAATACAAAAATTGGGGGAGGGTTGTTTTTGGCTTTTTGGTATCAATTAGTGACCAGGGTTGTTTGTAGTATGTGCTCTTCTTAATCTTTAGAATACTTGGCCTGGAGTACAGTTCTTTACTATGTACTGATTTTGTGTTTTGGAATTTTAACCCCCTGAGCTTCAGCCTCAGTTTTTTGTGTGTTAAATGAAAATAATAACAGTTCCTAGCTTAATAATGTTGTTTTTAAGGTGAAATAAGAAAGCATTTTTTAAACCTCAAGGTGCTAGGTCAGTTATTTTTTTAATATATTGAGGACCTCATGAGATAGTCTCTGCTATATACACGTTTTCTCACAAACCTTTCCCAGCTTTGTGATGTGTGCTTCCTCTCATTTTAAGTCTGGAGAAAACAGTGATTTCTTGATTCAGTGTGTTGAATTCCATCTTGGCCTGATGGTTTGATGCTTTTGAGGCTTTTCTTTTCTTTTTAACATTATACATTCTGGTATTTAAATCTTACGCCACTTAGAAATCTTAAAGTATCAAAACTAAAAGAATGTTGTAAATTGTCAGATTTAGCTTCCTTGTTTTATATATGGGGCAGCTGAGACCTCGGGGGGAGGGGTGCGGGGGACAATGATAATTGCTCAAGACAGTGCCAGATCTTGAGTTCCAGCCTGCAGTTTTACATGCCAAAATCAGTGCCCTGTCCACAGTTTAATCATGTTAGTTGTTTCTGTGTCATTGAGCAAGCAAACTACATTGATTTAAGTGAGGATGATACTGCTGTTGACAGAGGCTGGTTAAGGTTAAAAGAGTGGAGTCTTTTTCTAGTTATACTTACAGGAGAAAGTAAGCTAATAGATGTGTTTCTGTGTGATTTTTAGTTCATTTATTTCTGCTTGTCTTCTTCTTGGCTTCTTTACTCTCAGAACGCTAAGCTCTCTACAGTGACTGCTGTGGTTCCAGACATCCCAGGTTTCCGCAAGATCCTTCCCCGCTCAGAGTACATCATCATCCCTAAGAGCAGCCTCCAGGAGGATCAGAGCTGCACTCAGCTGGAGCTATGTGTAGCTCAGAACCAGATGTCCCCTAAAGGACCTTCTGTTGTATCCAACACTGCCCCTGAGACAGTGCCCAGCCATGCGGGCATAGCAGAGCAATGCCTGGCTGAGGAGCCTCTGGCTGAGGAGATGGGAGCCCTTGCTCAGCCAGGTGCTATACAGGAGATTGCCACCTCAGAGATCCTCACCCAGGATGTACTTCTGGAGGAAGCTTCATTGGAGGTAGGGGAGAGCCACCAGCCTTACCAGACAAACCTGGTAATTGAAGAGACCTTACTGAACAGCTCATCAGAACTCCCCACTGGAAACCTGGCTGTGCCCCGCACCCAGGTTGGGGAGAGTGTGTCGGTGGTGACAGTCATGAGGGTAAGTGGTGTTTTGCTTTATATGGAGTTACTAAAAAAGCAGCCAGCGCCATGCAGTGTCATTCTGGAGCAGTGGTAATTAAGAGCATTATATGGCACTTCTAGTGCTGTTATGGAACTTCCTTTGAACATTGATTTTTTTTTTTTTGTCTTTTTTAAGACAGGGTCTCACAGTTCAGGCTGGCTTTGAGCTCACTTTTTAGCCCACCCAGGCTGGTCCCAAACTCACAACAATCCTCCTGCCTCAGCCTCCCAAGTGCTGGGATTACAGGCATGCACCACCATGCCCAGCACTTTGAACATTTCTGACCCCTGAGCTTGCTCCAAAGCTCTCCTCAGTTTCTTGGGCACTCTTACCAACTCCTCTCTACCCAGCATTAGCAGGAGAGCTGGAAATGATATTTAGGGATATCCACGAGTCAAAGCCCAGATCTTTCAGGTTATTAGTACCAGTTAGGATTTTGTGTTCCTAGTGGCTATCTCAACAAATACAGTGGCATCTTGAAATGTATATGAGAATCACTGAAAGGTCTTCCTGGGTGTGGATGGGGGAGGAACAAAGATAATCTCTTCAAGGCCAGGTTGACTGCAGTAGTAACCGAGAAAGAAGAGGTAAGTCTCCCTGTGCTGGCCTGAAAATCATGCTAACTTGAGGAGAAAGCAGCAGTTTCATTGATTCTACAACCTAGTTCCCTGGAAGGAGGGGAACTACCACCATGTCCTCATGTATAAGCCTCACTCTTTTACCCTAGGTAAAAGATACATGGGTGTTATCCTCAGATAGTGGGTGTTCTGTTCACGCTAAGAAGGCCAACACCCTCTAGCCCTATGGCTGATGTGGAAGAAAGCAGGTATTCCTGCTGAGAAATCTATCTGAGACTTAATAACTCCTAGTGTTATTTGTGACCTTGTTGCTGTTTAGATAATGAAGTGGGCCACTGTCTTTAGCATTAATAGCATGCTAAGAACATTTGACAAGGTCATGAGAATTGGATTCTCTCACTAATAGCTTAAGTGATCTGGGAAGTTCAAATCTCTTAGAACTTCAGTTTTTTCATCTGTAAAATGAGGATAGCACATTTTCTGTGGTAGTTTTCTTCTTGCTCCTAATTAAGCTTTATTTTGAGATAATTTTACATTGATTTGATAAATATGTTGGATAAACACATTATGGGTACTGTACTCAGTCCAGTCTTCCAGTGTTGGGAGTGGCTCTGGATATTCTATATTCTATTTCAGTGAAACTGTCCTTCTCTGTTACCCACAGGATTCCAGCGAAAGTAACTCCTCTGCACCAGCCACACAGTTCATCATGTTGCCTGTGCCTACCTACTCAGTTGTGGAAAATCCCTCCCCCATCAAACTGGTTAGTAGGTGGAAAGTTCGCAGTAATGAGGGCTCCATAAGCATCCTCTTCCACATAGTTTCCTACAAGTCTTAGAACCTTAGGGGCCTGGGATTGGTAAAGGTCTCAGGATTAAGTGATCCCTGTGTTCTAAAATTGGGGGTTCTGTAGGTAGAGCCTGCAGGATCCATGAATTCCCCTCAAGCTGTGTACAAACTACCAAAGAGCATTGTCCTGGAATCATTTCCATTGCTTTTGTCAAATTTTTGGAAGCACACATAATTTTGAAAAATTGAGGAGCCACTGTTCTAATTAAATACTGTTATTATACAGATTTTTTAAAAGACCCAGAGAAAAAGGAATTTCAAGGCTACTAACCTACAAACCAGCCAGAGCTAGATTCTGGTTTCTTGATTATCCCTCTCTTTCTCTCTCTGTTTCTTTCTTTTTTCTTTTTCTTTTTCTTTTTTTTTTTTTTCATTGTTTTAAGACAGGGTTGTGCTCTGCAGTTCTGGCTGGCCTTGAGCTCACTTTGTAGCCCAGGCTGGTCTCGAACTCGCAACAATCCTCCTGCCTCAGCCTCCCGAGTGCTGGGATTACAGGCGCGCGCCACCATGCCCAGCTACACTTAGTTTATTCTCAGTTGATATTTTTTCCATCAAAACACTTACATATCTGATCTGAGATTTATGCCTAAATATTTTGTTTTGATTCTATTATAAGTGGTATGTCAAAATTTTCTTTGATTGTTCTGTGCTAGTATGTACTAATATAGTTGAATATACTGCATATATGTGACCTTTATGTATATATGTATGTATGTATGTGTATGTTATATCCTGCAACTTTTCTGAACTCTTTTATTAGTTCTGGTAGCTGTTTTGTAGATTCAATTGGATTTCCTACAAAAGCAATTATGTCTATGAGTAAAGTTTTAGTTTTATATCTTTCTGATCTGAATTCATGATACTTTTTTCTTGCCTTATTGTCTAAAGATCCTATAGTATAATGCTGAATAGAAATGCTAAGAGCAGATATATTTGTCTTGTTTTTTTTTTCCACAGAAGGCCTTTATCGAGTTCAGGAAGTTGCCTTGTTTTTCTGATGTGTTAGGAGTTTTTATCAGGAATGGATGTTTGATTTTGTCAAATGTTTTTTCTGTGTCTGTTGAGATAATTGAATGGGTTTTCTTTTCTAGTTGGCTAATGTGGTGCACCTCGTTGTTTCTCAAATGTTAAACCATCCCGTCTTTACTAGGATAAAACCTATTTGGCAGTGATCTATTTATTCTTCTTACATACTGTTGGATTTGATTGGCTAAAATTTTGTTCAGAATTTTTAAATCTGTGTTCATGAGGGATGTTGCCCTCTAATGTTTTATGGTCTGTTTGGCTTTCCTATTAGAGTAATGGTTGTCTCCTGACTTGGGAAGTATTTTCTTCCTTTCTGTTTGTCTTATTCACATTGTTTCTTTTTTGTGTGTGTGGGACCTGCAATTGAACTCAGGACCTTGTGCTTGCCAGACAAGTGCTGTTCCCAGCCCTTACATTGTTTCTTAAATGTTTCAATTACTAGTGAAGTCCTTAGAGCCTGGAGTTTGGGTTTTTTTGTGGAGAGATTTTGGAGACTATGTAATTCAAACCCTTCTTGCACAATGTAGCAAAGAGATATGTACACAGTGTAGACAATGAAGAGCAAATGCCCCCCTATTTCTCTTTTAAGGTTTGGATTGTTTTCTCTCCCACTTTTTTTTAAATCAGATTTATTGGTACATTTTAGATATATAGTGATCACATTCATGGTGAAGAATTTGTACCTGTACATGATAAACTTGTGGTTTTTTTTTTTCCTATTCTCCTGCACTCCCTTCAGTCTCTCCTTCCCGCCCCATTTACAAAAGCTTTATTTCCATGTTTTCCTTCTTTTCTCATTTTTAAAAATTTTCCTGTCTTTCCTTTTCTCCTCCCCTCTTTCTTATTCCCCTCCCCATTTGAATATTCTAGAGTTTTCTTTGTGGGAATGTTTTTAACTGCAAGTATAATTTTTAAATTACATATAGGATTGTTTAGATTACCAGTAGGTAATACAGTATTTTTGAGTGAGCTTTTGGTATTCTGTCAGGGAATTTGTCATTTTTTTAGGTTGTCAGATGAGTTGACATAATATTCCCTTATTACCCTTTTTTAAAAATTGTGATAAAATAGTACATGATGTAAAATGTATTATTTTAAACATTTTAAGTGTATAATACAGTGGCATTAAATACATTCCCAGAACTTTTTCATTATTCCAAATAGAAACTGTATACCCATTAAATAGTAACTCATTATTCCTACTTTCCATCCCCTCATAACTTCTGTTCTACCTTCTATGAATTTACATGGTCTAGGTACCTCATAAGTGGAATTAGGCAAGTAAGTGTACTTTGTGTGAGACTTTTCCACTTAAGGTTTTTAGAGTTCATCCATCTTACAGCACATATCAGAATTTTATCTTTGTGGCTGAGTACTACTGCACTCTGTATCTATAAAACATTTTATTTACCCATCTATCTGTTGGTAGATATTTGGATTGTTTGCACATTTTAGCTATTGTATATAATGCTGCTTGACTTTGGTGTGCAAGTATTAGTTTGAATCCCTCCATGAAATTCTTTTGAGTATGTAACTGAGTGAACTTGCTGGATCACACAGTAATTCATTGTTTAAACTTGTGATGAACTTTTACCCTTTTTATATCTATACCAAGTGATTTCACTCCTTGTTCCTGTTACTGATGATTTGGGTCTTTGTTTTTCTGAGAAGCCTAGCTAGAGCTTTATCAACTTTATTGGTCTCAAATAACCAGCTTTTGGTTTTATTGATTTTTCTCTTTTGTTTTTGCCTTCTACTTCACGGACCATTTGCTCTTTTCTATTTTCTTTTTGGTGGTTTTTTTGTTTGTTTTGGTTTTTTTCAAGACAGTCTTACTGTGTAGTTCAGGCTCCTTCAACTCACTATGTAGCCTGAGCTGACCTTGAATTCATGGCGATCCTCCTGCCTCAACCTCCTAAGTGCTGGGATTACAGGTGTGCACCACCATGCCTGGCTCACTCTTTTCTCTTTTCTTAAGATAGAAACTGATGGTGATTAAAGACCTATTTTCTTTTCTAATATAGATGCTTAGTGCTATAAATTTCCTGCTAAATATTGCTTTAGTACCATCCCACAAATTCTGATGTAGTATATATATATATTTCCCCCCCCCCCCCTCCGGTACCAGGAACCGAACTCATGACCTTGCGCTTGCCAGGCAGGTGCTTTTGCCGCTGAGCTAAATCCCCAGCCCCCAGATGTAGTATATTTTTATTTTGATTCAATTCAAACTACTTTTTGATTTACTTTTTTAACCCATGAGTTGCGTAGAAGTATGTTATTTATTTTCCAAATATTTGGTGATTTTTCCAGGTACATTTCTGTTATTGATTTATAATATCTTTTGTGGCCAGAGCTTTGTGGTTTGTAATATCTGAATCTTTTCAAATTTATTGAGATTTGTTTAATGTCCCAAAGTATAATTTATGTTGATAATTGTTTTATGTACATTTCAAGAGAATGTATTTTCTGCTGTTGAAGTATTCTGTACATGTCAAATTAAGTCAGTTTGATAGATGATGTTTTTCAATATTTTTTATAGCCTTCCTTATTTTCTATTTACTTGTTCTACCAATTATTGAGAAAAGGCATCCAGCCAATGTAGATTTGTTTATTTTCTTTTGTTAAGAGCAGAATCTATTTATTGGGGAAAGAAAGCTTCTGTCTGAGAGAGACAAAAGGGGACCAGTGTGGGTTGCCTATTTCTTCTTACAGTTCTGTTACTTTTTGTGTCATATAAATTTTGACTCTTATTGGTTGCATAAATATTTGGGGTTGTTAGATGCTCTTGAAGAATTGACCCTTATGTTATTATGAAGTGACCATTTTTATCTCTAGTAATGTTCTTTGTTTGAAATCTTACCTGATGTCCAAATTTTTTTTAGCATTATGTCCCTTTTTCCATTCTTTCACTTTTAACCAGTTTATGTCTTTGTATTTAAAGTGGATTTTCTTTTTTTTCCTTATAGATAGCATATAGTTTTGATACAAAAGCAAGACCTGAGAATTTATCTTTTAAACAGAGAATTTAAGGCATTTATGTTAAATATGATTATTGATATAGTTAGTTTTAGAACTGTTATCTATTTGTCCCCTTTGTTTTATTATCCTTTTGATTGAATTTTTATGAATCCATTTTCTCTCTATTTTAGTGGGTTATTACGTGTTGACTTTGCTTTGGTTGTTTTAGTAGTTTCTTTAGAGTAATACTATGCATTTTTAAATTATCGCAGCTTTGGAGATATTTGATAAGAAGATTCTGTTTTGGGCTATGGTCTGAGAAAAGGTAGAGATCTTTTACATCTCAGTAATAGTTTCTCCCAAACCTATAGAATCTTTCACAATTTACTAAGTGAATGCTTCCTCATTCCTTACCATATGCTCCTTGAGACATTCCTGTGAAATAGGAAGAGCAGGGAAATTCACAGAAGAGGAAACCAGGGTCCATAAGTTCAGGTGATTTACTCCCAGGTCATTCAGTGTTAGAGGCAGAGTTAGAACTTAAAGACTGTTCTCCTTCTTTGGTGCCACATCTCTTTGCAGTCATCCTTAGCTTGGTACCACTGTCATAATCAGCTTTCCTTTAGGCTTCCTGGCAGAAGGGTAGCTGATGGTAGTTCATTTTCCAAGGGAAGTTTTTGCTTTTTGGCCAGGCTAGGGAAGCTAGGAATACTAGCTGAGTAAATGTTTATGAGTCACAGAACATATCTAATAGGGGAATGTTTTTTTCCAGCATTAATCTAGAATGGGCCATTTCTGATGAATAAGTGGTTTCTGTTTGTTTCTGGAGTGTAATAATTCATTGTAATACATTTTGCTGAAAAGGAGATCAGCAGAGATGGGGGAGGCAGTAGTTGAATATATTCATATGCAAATAACTTAATTCCTGTTCAGTATCAAACGACCTGGTTTCTATTCCTGGATTTTTTTTGTCTTTCCCCTCAGTGACCATGGGTCTATTTTTATATACCTGAATCCAAGGTCCTAGGTTCTCTGATTTTTAACTACTAAGAATAAAGATCAAGCAAATTTTTTGAAGTATTCAGAGCCGAAAGGTGCAGCTAGGTGTGTAGAAATAATTGTACACCAAAAATCCAGATGTGAATTCTGGGGTCTAGTCTTTCCCTGAGTCATTGTGAGACAAAGCTTTTAACTACTCTGAACCTCAGTCATAATAATACCTACTGAATAACATTGCTGAGAGTATTAAATGAGTTATTGGCAGTGTTTAGCATTGTCTAGTCCTGCAACAGAAAATGCCTTCCCCCCGGCAGCCAGTATACTTCACTTCGTTAGTTCCCTAGGTAATAGTTCCTGTTGCAGTTCCAGTTGCTTCTGTCTCTTAGAAACAGCTGGTTACTGTGATGCATAGCTGGTCACTATCATGTATGTTGTATAAACCATTCCCCAATTGACAAGCCATTCTGCCTCTGTACTTTTTGCTTACTTATCCCATATAAGCCCTCAACCACCAGAGATTGGAGCCTGATACTCTGGGTATGATTCTGATCAGTGCCCATCGATATAAATAAATCTGCCTCCAAATCCTGGGTGTCATTTAAGTGTTTCTGCTTGCTGTTGCAGTACCTTGCTCAATTAATAGCAACTATCAGTGCTTTCATTCTTCTGGTACCTAACTGTGTTAACCGTGAGTAGCTGTCTTTCTCCTTTTGAAATCAGTTTTCTTCGTTTCTGAAAAGAAGGACTTATGCATTAGGACTCTTCTATTGTTGACCTTTTGTGGTACCATGAACAGCTGTCCTTTTAAAACTGTATCCTAATGTTGTGGATATAATGAACAACAGGGTCTGGTAGAGGTTGGACACATTTGATTCTGATACTTTTTTTTTTAACAGACAACTACCTATACCCGCCGGGGCCATGGGACTTGCACTAGTCCAGGTTGTTCATTTACATATGTCACCAGGCATAAACCACCCAAGTGCCCAGCCTGTGGTAACTTCCTAGGAGGAAAGTGGATCCCAAAGGTAAGCTGCTTTGGCTCTCTTTGCTTTGAAAGCCCAACAGGGGAAGCTTCCTGTTGCCCTTAGGGACAGGTCACTTTTTTAGTGTTTTGTTGTTTTTGTTTTGTTTTGTTTTGTTTTGTTTTGTTTTTGTTTTGAGACAGGGCCTTGCTATGTAGTTGAGGCTGGCCTTCAGCTCACTCTGTAGCCCAGGTTGGTCTCAAACTCACGGTGATCCCCCTGCTTCAGCCTCTTGAGTGTTGGTATTATGGGTGTGCATCACAGGACAGATCACTTTTTAAAAGTAAATATTCATTTTAACTTTCAAAAGTAAATAATTTTCACTAGAAATAATTTGTTTAAAAAAGAAAAACAGCTGGGCGTGGTGGCGCACACCTGTAATCCCAGCACGCGGGAGGCTGAGGCAGGAGGATTGTTGCGAGTTTAAGACCAGCCTGGGCTACAAAGTGAGCTCAAGGCCAGCCTAAACTGCATAGTAAGAGCCTGTCTCAAAAAAGAACCCCCCCCCCACGCCCGCAAAAAAGTAATAAAAAAGAAATAAAAAAAACAGAATGAAATGTTAGCCATAATCTTATATCATCCACAAAAAGCCATTATTAATTGTTAGGTTTTCTTGTAGTCTTTTTCTGTAAGTTCTATATCTTTCTTTCCTCATTTCTTTCAACTTACCATTAAATATTCTTTAAAAATACTATCTTTAATTGCTTTATAGTTTCCCATGAATAACTATACTGTGTTAATTTACTTCCTGTTAGGATTGAATTTTGAATTTTAATAATTTATCCTCCATATCAACTACTTAGTTATTATTAGCTCATATTGTCTCACTCCTTCACTCAATGTTTTTTTTCCTAAAACTCTTCTTAAAAGTGGGAATTCTTAACCTGAAAATCAGTTTCCTGTAGCCTTTTTTTTTTTTTTTTTAAATGAGATAGGGTTCAGACCAGTCTAGAATTCACTGTGAATTCAAGCCTAGGCTGGCCTTGAACTCACAGTGATCCTCCTGCCTCAGCCTCCAAAGTGCAGGGATTACAGGTATGTACCACTATGTCTGGCTCCTGTATGTAGCCTAACTCTTATTTTTACAATATATATCTTAGCCTCCTCTACATTCCTCCTTTCTTCTTCCTTCCCTTCTTTCTTCTCTCTTGTCTCTTTTGTGTAGCCAAACTAATTGGTTATTATGTGTCTGAAGTAAATACATGGTACTGAAATTGGTCATGACACATTGTAAATGTTTGTTCTGTGAAACATCTCTAGGTTTTCCCTCGGAAAGAATGGATGAGTTCTCCATGTGCCTTTAACACTTACTTAGCAGTCATTACAATTTGATAGTGTTTCTGTTTCTGTCATGTTGTGAGCTCCTTAAACCTTTAAATCTCCTACAGCTTTTAGCCATAGAAGATGCTCAGTAAATAAGTGAGCATCACGGGCCCCTGTGAAGTTCAGTGCGGTATGTATTATTTATTTATTTATTTATTTTTTAGTGCAGTATGTTTTATTAACTTACATGCTTGGCACTGACTAGATAAAATGTACTACTTCTCATGCTTTTTATATGATACTAAATTTTTGGGTCCAAAATGCATGGTATTCATGGTTAATTCTCAATGAGTTCGGACAGGAAAGACACAAGGACTAGAACAGACAAGGAAAGATTAGTAAAACAGATGGTTTTGAAGGGTCAGCGGCATTTGCCCAGGTCAGTGATTGCCGGCCTTTAGAGACGGAGTGCTCAGCCTGTAACCCACTTATTTATTGCAAAGTGCCAACACTGCAATTAAACCTGAATACTGAGGTTTTAGTTTAGAAAAAAGAACCCACACACTTGGGTCTCCTGCCAACAGAGAGGGCTCTGAGTGCCCACTGTGCCACACGTGCCATAGGTTTGCCACCACTGGCCTACATTTTATAAAACTGGCTTAGGGTAGGATTGTGGTTGTCATGTGTTTAACACAGCATGGTCCCCTGAGATATCAATTTATACAGAGACAAGGGTTATTTTGGCTTAGAATTTGGAGATTTCAGCCTATGACTTAGATCTAAAATAGCCCCTAAAAGTGTTGGGTGTTCAAAACTGGGGCCCAGTCAAAAGAGGCAGGCGTTGGAGGCACGACCTGGAAAGGTACATTCTTGGCCTCAACTCTTCTCTTCTCTGCTGTGGATGCCATGGGGTGAGCAGCTTTTCTCCACTGTGCCCTTCCCCTGTGCCATTTCTACCACGGAACCAACTAACCGTAGACTGAACCCACTAAACCCATCAGCCAAAATAAACTTCTCTTCCTTAAAATTGTGTCAGATATTTTGTCCTAGTGACAAGAAAGTACTATTATGGTCTGTGATCAATTGGCCAAATTGTTTTGGTGCTTTGACAAGGCACATCGTGGTGAGAGTGTGTAGTGCCACAAAACTGCTTCCCCCATGACTAGAAATGAAAGAGGGGAGAAGAGCGGGGCTCCACGATTCTTTTTAAGAGTACACTCCCAATGAACTAACACCTTCCACTAGTTTCCACCATTTGAAGGCACTCCTGTCTGCTGATAGCACTACTTTGGAGGGCAAGGCTTTTCCACATGGACCTTTAGGGGACACCTAAGATACAAACATGAGCAATAATTAATAAAGTTCTGGAGTTCTTCATTTCAAACTTGCTTCCCAAGTTTTTACCTCTGTGATCTTGGACAACTTTTCTCATACCTTTTTCTTGCTTTAGGTTTCTTCTTATCTGTAAATAGAAGTTCATAACAGTACTTACCTCATTAGGGTCATTGGAGGGGTTGATGAAATTATCCATGTAGGGTGGTTGGGACAGTTTCTTTACTTTTTTTTTTTTTTTGGTACTGGGCTTTGAACTCAGGACATTGCGCTTGCCAGGCAGGTGCTTGTGCTACTGATCTATATCCCCGGCCCTGGGACAGTTTCGTATGCATGTGAAATCCTTAGTAAAATGTACCCTGTCATCATCATATCTAACATTAGTGTAATTATATCTCTGTTATCGCTATTCATGTTATCATCTCTGGGGTTAGGAAGGACCTACTGCTAATGTCTCAGGATATTCCTTTGAGTTCTTGAGCCCTTTTGCTCTGGTGTGCCTTTGAAGCCATCCATTTATTCCTACTCTGTTCCCCAAAGATGCACTTTGCCAGCTACAGTAGGGATGTTAAGTTGGATGGCATTCAGAGTCCTCTGTGGACCTTCTTCACCAATGCAAAACACCTCTGTGAAATTACTTTGTGTCCTTTGCTTTTCAAGGAAATAATCAAGGTGGGCTTTTCTCTCTTTTGGTCTGTTTTTACTTCGTACTTTTGCCCTTCTCATGTGTACATGCCCATGTATGTGTATTTTCTTTGGTTGAAATGGTGTTTCGGTCATGGTTCTCTTACTGAAATTGAGCTCATGACCTTTTTTTCCTTCACTATCCACCCTCTTCTTGACTTGCTCAGTCAGATTCTCTCCCTCCCCCCAGCGTTCAAATGAGTGTGAGAAGAAAAAAAGGTAATATTTCAGCATCTGTGCACTTTTGGATTTTAGGGATAACAGTGACTGGTCATCAGTCAGTTCGTCTCTTTAAGTTTCTAGCTGAGGAAAAATAGACTAAAGAGAAGTGACCTGTTAATTTCATGCAGGTAACTTTGCCATCACCTTTTCCACTAAATCGTATTTCTCAGGGATTGCTTTGCTATTAACTGCAGAATCTTAAATTTCTTAGTTCTGATGTTTAAAGCCACAAATATAAATGATTTGTACAAACTGCAAAGGTGTCTGTGTCAATCAGGAAATGACTCATCTATTCTTATATTGTCACAGAGTTCAGACTGGCTAAAATTAACCCAAATGTTGTGGCATAGTTCCCAGTGAATTGGACGGGACAAAAGAAGAGTATATAAAGTTAGCTCAGGGCTTCATTCTCACAGGCAGAAATTGAGGTTGGTGCATGGGCAGCTGTTGTATATACCTTATATCTTGAATGAAACGAACATCTAAGAATATAGGTTGGACCAGGAGTCGTGGTACACACCTGTAATCTCATCACTCTGCGAGACTGAGATAGGAGGATCACAAGTTCTCATTATGGGTGACTTAGCAACTTACTGAGACCTTGTCTGAAAACTTAAAAATCAATGAGGGTGTAGCTCAGTGCCAATGCCCTGGATTCAATTCCAAGCACCCTCCACACACACAAAGGGTATAGGAGCAGGGGGTATGCCTCAGTGACGAGTTCTTACCCTGGTTTCATCCCCAGCACCAAAAAGGATGAAGAATAGGTTGAGATATGGAAATGTTAAGATCACCAGGTAGTGTTTTTGCTCAGATATCATTCTTTCTGCAAAGGATTTTTGTCTGAAATAGCCTACTTAGTAGGCAGTGTTTTGCTCACAGATCACATCTCAAGATACGACTTTACTGTTTCTTTGCTGACTTTTCTCTGTCCTGCAGTAAATAAGCTTCTGTGAAGTTTTGTTGGAAATTTTCTCCATGTTTACTCATCTTTAGGGGCTACCATGTGTTAGACTCTGAGAATGTTTTACTGGAGAGTTCTTAAAGATCATCTGTTAGTGGTCCTTAGCCAGGAAAAATACACCGTCCAGGTGGTTTTGGAAATGTTGTGGGTTTATAACAGGACCATAATTTTGAATTTATGCTCCTGCACAGTGAAGAATCAGGTACCCAAAATGCTGTCTGGCTTTTTTTTGACAAACATTGAGAGCCCAAGCTCTGGTATTTCATGATGGAAAGTGGGGATTTGTGAATATTGCCCCAAACCACATAACCCAGAATATAACACATGTAACCCCACAGAACCCAGCTTTTATGTCTCATTCCTCCTGGTTTATGGTACCTTCATGATGCATATGGAGGGAAGAAAACTTCCCGAAACCTGTCCCAGAGAAAACCGCTGTTTAAAAACAATGAAGTATATACATTTGTATGTATATGTGTATGTAAATGCTGTTTTTTCCAAGGTAGTGCTGACTGGATAAAAGTTAAGACATCCAAAATTTTAAAAGTACCCACAAAATTCAGAGACCCAATGCATAAATGGGCATCTGAAATGAATATATACTTCTCAGATGAAGAAATACAAATGGCAAATAAATATATGAAAAATGGTAAGCATCATTAGTCCTTCAAGACATGCAAATTAAGACAAGGCTGAGATTCCATCTTACCCCAGAAAGAATGGCCGTCATCCAGAAATCAACCCATAACAAATGCTGTAGGGGCTGTGGGTAAAAAGGAACTCGTATCCACTGTTGGTGGGAGTATAGACTGGTACAATCAGTGTGGAGAATCCTCAAAAAACTAAGATTAGAAGTCCCATTCAACTCAGCTATTCCCCGTCTGAGTATTTTTCCAGAACAACTGAAAATATCATACCACAGTGATATATGTGCACCAATGTTTATGGCAGTGCAATTTGTAATAGCTAAATCTTGGAAACAGCCCAAATGCCCATCCAACAAGGAATGGATAAAAAAGATGTGGTACTTTTATACAATGGAATATTACTCCACTATAAAGATTTTTATAGGTAAATGGATGCAACTAGCGACCATACTCATAAATGAAATAAATCAGATGTGGATGTGTAAAAGCATATTGTCTCCCTAGTGTAAGAACCTGAAAGAGTAAATAAAACTAAAAGGTA